GATTTCCTACAGACAGAATTCGGACGGTAAGAGTCAACAACATTTTACCAAACAATAAGCATTTATCTACTGGGTCCCCCCATAGATGCGTATTGTCTCCCTTACTCTTTGTTCTATGTACAAACCACTGCAAGAGCTATCACCACTCAAAACGCATAATTACAGTACATTTGCAGTCGACTCTTTCATTGTTAGCCTACTGCAAGAAAATGAGTGGAGCCATTGACCCATCGTTGATGAGTTTGCCCCTTGGTGTGAACAAACCTTCCTCAAACTAAATGTGTCCAAGACCAAAGACATGATAATTGACTTCAGGAAAAACCCCTATACCACCATCCTAATCTACATCGGGGGAGATTCAGCAGAGCTAGTATAACAATACAATTACTTGGGGACTGTTCCAGACTCCTACTTAAATTTCGAAGCCAATGTTAACTTGATCCTCATAAAAAGACACCAGCATATTTTTTCTTCATAAGAAAGCTTAAGAATTTTAAGGTTGATGATTTGTTGCTGATCTTATTCTATCGGTCCTTCCTTGAATCTGTTTTAACTTTTACCTCGATCTGCTGGTTTGGCAACCTGAATCTAAGAGGCAAGAACTAACTGGGCAGTCTTGTGAATATTGTAACGACCGCCAGTCATCAGAGATCGACCCACAAAAGAGCTTACCAGTTCCAGCAGCGGACTAATCACAACAAGCGCCGCTGCACGTGTTAAACCACCACCCACTGTACCGTTCTGCACTCAGCTCTATTTAAACTCTCAGAACTCGCAATCGGTATTGATTTCTCTCATAGAGACCTCCTACCTCGCCCCTTTTGAAAACCTCTTTTGCACGACCACATTTGGCTTTTTGGGCTTTGCTCTTGACCACGAATTCACCTGTCAATTTGGATTGGACACCTGTGTTGTTTCTGCCTCTACTCTCTCTCTCTCTCTCTCTCTCTCTCTCTCTTGTCTGCGTAGGATCCTCCTACTTATTCACTTGGATTCCTTACAAATATATTTCAGAAGGTCATCAGTACTGATCTTCCAGCAGTCTCCACCATCTATCATTCTCATGTTTTACGTAAAGCAAACTCCATCTGTGATGATCCTTCACACCCCTTGTTTAATGAATTCAAACTACTGCAATGCTCTGCTCCCTGGGGTATCTAAATATACTCTGAACAAGCTGCAGTATGTCCAAAATTCAGCAGCCAGAATCCTGACCAGATCTAGTGCAAGTGTTCACATTACTCCTATCCTGGAGTCCTTGCACTGGCTTCCGGTC